CCCCTCTCCCCACCGCCCCTCTCCCCACCGCCCGGCTCTTCTCCCCGCAGGTCTCTTTGGCACCGGCATCCAGTCCTACTTCACTTTCCTTCGCTTCCTCCTGCTGCTCAACCTGCCGACCCTGCTGCTCACCGCCAGCTTCGTGCTGCTGCCCCTGGCCTGGCTCCACCCCCCGGGCCCGGGCCCGGCCCTGAACTTGAGTAAGTTGGGGTCTTCTGCACACAACCTTCCTGACATCCTGGGGGATGGAGGGTGGGAGGGGCTGGGAAGGTGGCTCAGTGGCAGAGTGCTCGCCTAGCACGCTTGAAGCCCTGAGTTCCATTCCTCAGCACCACAGACACAGGAAAATCCAGAAGTGGCGCTGTGGCTCAAGAGGTAGAGCGCTAGCTTTGAGCAAAAGAAGCTCAGGGACAGCGCTCAGGCCCTGAGTTCAAGCCCCAGGACTGGGAAAAAGAAAAGAAAGGGGGGGAGAGCCAAGTGTCCCCCGTGTCCCGGGACCCAGGCCTGTTGGTCCCCTCTCCCTCCTCAGCAGCTGGCCAGTGCCCGGACAGCCAGCAGCCCCAGAGTGGCATTCCGAAGTTCCACAATCAGCTTTGGAATATTTTAACTGGCAGGGTAAGTGAGGCTGTCCTGAGGGTTCATGAGGCCTGGGGACTCCAGTCTAAGGAGAGACCCTCCCCACAGGGCATTTTGGCTTCTAGTGGGTGGTCCTATTCAGCCAGCCAATGGGATGGGAGAGAGGCAGAGGCCCCTGCACTGCAGACACAGGCTTGGGCCCTCAGAGCCCAGCAGGGCTGGGGGTACAAAGAACAAAGGGAGAAGAGTCCAGGCCCCAGTACTAAGTACCCCCTAATTCCTGAAAGCCATGGAGAGAGTTTATGGATTCAAAGCTGTGTGACCTTAGCTAGGCACCAGTGGCTCACGCCTGTAATCCTAGCTACTCAGGAGGCTGAGATCTAAGGATCATGGTTCAAAGCCAGCCTAGGCAGGAAAGTCCATGAGACTTTTATCTCCAATAAACCACTAGAAAACCAGAAGTGGCGCTGTGGCTCAATCGGTAGAGCACTCGCCTTGAGCTGAGGAGTGCAGGGACAGCGCCCAGACCCATAGTTCAAGCCCCATGACCAACAAGAGAAAGAAAAAAGCTATGTGACCTTGAGCAAGTTGTCTGGCCTCTCTGAGCCTCTGTAAGACATTCTCAGGCCAGCAGTTCTCACACCGTTTGAGACCCTGAGGTGGGGAAATCCAGAGTTTTCCAGGACAGCCTCGGCTACCTAGAGAAACCTCAGCAACCAGTCAAGGCTCCTGCTGCTGGGAGCGGAAGCCAGCAACCCCAGCGACTCAGGAGGCTGAGCTCTGAAAGTCAAGGTTTGAAGCCAGCCAGAGAAAAAAGACCATAAGTTATTATCTCCAGTTAACCACCAAAGAGTCAGGAAGAGAGCTGTGGCTCAAGTGGCAGAACCTTGAACAAAGAAGCCCAGTGTAAAGCCCTGAGTTCATCCCCAACACACACACACGGAGGGGATGCTTCTCACCTGACTAGGCCCGACACACACTCGTACTCAGTAGTCTTCATCGCTGTCCCCAGGCCTTCAACAACACCTATCTCTTCTATGGCGCCTACCGGGCGGGGCCTGAGAGCAGCTCTGGGTACAGCCTCCGCCTGGCCTACCTGCTCAGCCCCCTGGCCTGCCTGCTCCTGTGCTTCTGCAGGACTCTGCATCGGTAAGCCCAGGCAGGTGGCCTCCCTGGGCCCCGTCCCTAGTCACCCCTTCCAGGCAGAGGACCCCCGCTGCCCCTGCTCAGCAGGGCTGCCCCAGCCCCCATCCCCACTCACAGACCCGAGGCTGGAGGGGCCCCACAGCAGTCTCTGTTGCCTTGTCCCAGGATGGTGAAGGGGCTGCCCCAGAGGCTGCTCCTGGGCCAGGACTACAAGGCGCCGCTGAGCGCCAAGCTCTTCTCCTCCTGGGACTTCTGCATCCGGGTGCGAGAGGCTGCCATCATCAAGACGCACGAGATCAGCAATGAGCTCAAGGTAGGGCCAGGGTGGCGGTGACGGCGTGAGACAGCGTGTGAGGGCGAGTGACAGTGAGATGGCGTGTGAGGGCGTGTGGCAGTGAGAGACCGCGTGTGACAGTGTGAGGGCGTGTGACAGCGTGAGACTGTGTGTGAGGGCGTGTCACAGTGTGAGACTGTGTGACTGTGAGACTGCATGTGAGGGTGTGTGGCAGTGTGAGACCGCATGTGACAGTGTGAGGGCTTGTGACAGTGTGAGAGTGTGTGACAGCATGAGACCACGTGTGAGGGCGTGTGACAGTGTGAGACCATGTGTGAGGGCGTGTGACTGTGAGACCGCGTGTGAGGGCGTGTGACTGTGAGACTGTGTGTGAGGGCATGTGACAGCGTGAGACCGCGTGTGAGGGCGTGTGACAGTGTGAGACCACGTGTGAGGGCGTGTGACAGTGTGAGACTGCGTGTGAGGGCGTGTGACTGTGAGACCGCGTGTGAGGGCATGTGACAGTGTGAGACCGCGTGTGAGGGCGTGTGACAGCGTGAGACCGCGTGTGAGGGCGTGTGACAGCGTGAGACCGTGTGTGACAGCGTGAGACCGCGTGTGAGGGTGTGTGACAGCGTGAGATGGCGTGTGAGGGTGTGTGACAGTGTGAGATGGCGTGTGAGGGTGTGTGACCGCGTGTGAGGGTGTGTGACCACGTGTGAGGGCGTGTGACAGCATGAGACCGTGTGTGAGGGTATGTGACAGACTGTGTGTGAGGGCGTGTGGCAGCGTGAGACCATGTGTGAGGGTGTGTGACAGCATGAGACCGCGTGTGAGGGTGTGTGATAGTGAGACCATGTGTGAGGGCGTGTGACAGTGTGAGACCGCGTGTGACAGCGTGAGACCGCGTGTGCGGGTGTGTGATAGTGAGACCGCGTGTGAGGGCGTGTGGCAGCGTGAGACCGTGTGTGATGTGCTACGCTGAACACAATCACAAGTATGACAATGTGAGTGTGTGATCCATGACGATGCCTGAGTGTGTAAGGCTGAGTGCTAGGGGCTAGTGAGTGACTAGGTGACTGAGGGCCCTCCCTACTCCCCACCCCTCCCCACTCTGCCCCCTCCCCCCTGCTCTGCCCTGCCCATCCCTGCCCTGCCCTGCCTTCAGGTGGAGTTGGATGAAGACCACCGCTTCCTGCTGAGCCAGCAGCGGTCCCGCACGCAGAGGGCCTGCCATCTGCTCTCCTACCTGCGGGTCAACGTCCTCATCGGCCTCCTGGTGGCTGGGGCCATCAGCGCCATCTTCTACGCCACCAAGTACTCACAGGACCACAGGGAGGTACGGGCAGCCTCTGCTTCGGTCCCGGGGGGCTTTGGGAGGAGACACCCGGCAGATGAGGACACCGAGGGTCAGAGAGGCCACGGGAGATGTCCCAGGGAGCTTCCAGCCCTGTCGAGATGGACACCAGGAAAGGCCGGGCCCGTGTCCCCTGACCGTCTGCCCCCACAGGAGCCCCTGTTCGTGGTGCTCCAGTACCTGCCCTCCGGGGTCATCGCCTTGGTCAACTTCCTGGGTTCCCAGCTGTTTGTGATCCTGGTCCAGCTGGAGAACTATGCTCCAAGCACCGAGGTCAACCTCACACTGTTCTGGTGAGCACCAGGCAGGTGGAGCTGTCCCTGCAGGCCCAGTGCCCTCCAGCTGGGGAAGGGCCCTCTGACATACTCCTGTCCCCCCCTGTGTCCTCTGACACACTCCTGTTCCCCTCCCGTCCTCTGACACACTCCTGTCCCCTCCCCGTGTCCTCTGACACACTCCTGTTCCCCCCCGTCCTCTGACGCACTCCTGTTCCCCCCTCCCATGCCCCTGACACACTCCTGTCCCCTCCCCGTGTCCTCTGACACACTCCTGTTCCCCTCCCGTCCTCTGACACACTCCTGTTCCCCTCCCCGTGTCCTCTGACACACTCCTGTTCCCCCCCATCCTCTGACGCACTCCTGTTCCCCCCTCCCATGCCCCTGACACACTCCCACCCCTAGGTGCGTGGCGCTGAAGCTGGCCAGCCTGGGCATGTTCTCCTTCTCCCTGGGCCAGACCGTGCTGTGTATTGGCAGAAACAGGAGCAGCTGTGAGTCCTACGGCTACAACGCCTGTGACTACCAGGTGGCTGCCATTCCCGGGGGGCCCGTCCCCCATGTCCTTCTGGGAGAATCCCCCCCTTTGGCCCCCAGTCACCTTGTCCCCTCTGGAAGGAGGAGCGGATTTAGTGTAGCCTGGCCAGGAGCTCTGTTCTAAGCATGGCCCTGAGGTCATACCTAAGGGCGCGCCCGTCTCCCCAACACGCTTGAGTCCGCAACAAGTGGGTGGAGGGAACAGAGCCTGGGCGGGCCGGTGACCCAGCCCTCCCTCTGTACCCCAGTGCTGGGAAAACTCGGTGGGCGAGGAGCTGTATAAGCTGATTACCTTCAACTTCCTCCTCATGGTGGCCTCCGCCTTCCTGGTCAGCCTGCCTCGGAGGTGAGCCGGGGGGCAGGCAGGGCAGGGGTGTGAAATGGCAGGTGTGCGTTTGAGGCCACAACCAAGGGTGAGCCAAGCCTGGTGAGGGGGCCGGTCCGTGGTCGTGAGTACCTGGACTCTGTCCCCTGCCCAGGCTGCTGGTAGAGAGGTTCTCAGGCCACTTCTGGACCTGGCTGGACCGGGAGGAGTTCCTGGTGCCCAAGAACGTGCTGGACATCGTGGCTGGCCAGACAGTCACGTGGATGGGCCTCTTCTACTGCCCCCTGCTGCCGCTCTTCAACAGCGTCTTCCTGTTCATCACCTTCTACATCAAGAAGGTGAGGCGACAGCGCTGCTGGAGTCCTGTGTGTCACACTGAGCACAGTGGCTCAGCCTGTCATCCCAGCCACCCAGGAGGCTGAGACCTGAGGATCGTTGCTCAAAGCCGCCTTGCGCAGAAACGTCTGTGAGCCTTTCCACTTAACTAGCAAAAAGCTGGCAATGGAGCTGTGGCTCACGTGGTAGAGCACTAGCCATGAATGGAAAAGCTGCGGGACAGCGCCCAGGCCCTGAGTTCAAGCCCCAGGCCTGGGGTGCGCCCCCATGAACCCTCCCGTCTGTCCTTGCCCCCCAGTACACGCTCCTGAGGAACTCCAGGGCATCCCCACGGCTCTTCCGCGCCTCCAGCTCCACCTTCTTCTTCCAGCTCATGCTGCTTCTGGGCCTGCTTTTGGCCGCAGTGCCCCTGGTCTACGTGGTCAGCAGGTGGGGAGGGACTGGGGGCAGCTCTCCCCTGGGTGGTCAGTGGGGGGGATCAGGGCAGCTCTCCCCTGGGTGGTCAGCAGGGGGGGGTCAGGGCAGCTCTCCCCTGGGTGGTTAGCAAGGGGGGGAAATCAGGGTAGCTCTCCCCTGGGTGGTCAGCAGGGGGGTCAGGGTAGCTCTCCTCTGGGTGGTCAGTGGGGGGGGTCAGGGCAGCTCTCACCTGGGTGGTCAGTGGAGGGATCAGGGTAGCTTTCCCCTGGGAGGTCAGCGGGGGGGGGGGGGGGGGCAGTCAGGGCAGCTCTCTCCTGGGAGGTCAGCGGGGGGGGGGGCAGTCAGGGCAGCTCTCATTTGGGTGGGGGGGAAGAGGGGGTCAGAGCAGCTCCTAGCTGGATGCTGACCATTCTCTTCCACCTCCCCAGCACCCACTCTTCCTGGGACTGTGGCCTCTTCACCAACTACTCCGCCCCCTGGCAGGTGGTCCCAGAGCTGGTGGCCCTCCAGCTTCCGCTCCCCGCCCAGCAAGTCCTCCACTACCTCAGCTCCCACACCTTCGGCTTCCCCCTCCTCATCCTGCTCAGGTGTGCTCAGGACAGGGCCCCAGGAGGAGGACCCTCAAGAGGGCTCCTTCCTTACCTAGTGATGGACCTGGGAGCTGGCCCAGTAAAGCCAACAGCCAAGGCCTCAGTTGCTCCCAGTGCTGCAGGTCCAGCTGGGGGGGGCTGTGGGTGGAAGCAGTGATAAGGCTTCAGATAAGGCTGTGCCTGGGGAAGACTCCGGGATCTGTTCTTAAGAAACAGAAGAGGGAGCTGGGAAGGTGGCTCAGTGGTAGAGTATTTGCCTTGCATGCATAAGGCCCTGGGTTCAATTCCTCAGCACCACATAAGCAGAAAGAGCCGGAAGTGGCTCTGTGGCTCAAGTGGTAGAATGCGAGCTCAGCCTTGAGCTGAAGAGCTGAGGGACAGTGCCCAGGCCCAGAGTTCAAGCCCCACGACCAACCAAAAAAAAAAACAAAACAGAAAAACAGAAGGGAACTGTAATCACACCTAGCTATTCAGGAGACTAAGATCTGAGGATGGAGGTTCAAGCCCCGGTAATGAGCTTCTTATCCCCATTTAACCAGCAAAAGCTGGAAGTGGAGGTGTTAAGTGGTAGTGTGCTAGACTTGAATGAAAAAGCCAAGTGAGAGCCCCAGTACCAGCAAAAGAAAAGTTAGAGCAGGCATTTGTGAACTGGAGTGTGGCTGACCTTGAGTCCTGTCTGTCCCAAAGCCTGGTCCTGACCGTGTGCATATCGCAGTCCCAGGCCAATACCAGGGCCATCCATGGTCTCCGGAAGCAGCTGGTTTGGGTGAGTGGCCACTGGGTTTGGGGGAAGCCACCTCCAGAGACGTTTTCCGGGTGTGTGGCGGAGGCAGGGAGAGGTGGGAGGTGGTTGGTTAGGTTTGGTCCTTAGAGCACAGGCTCAGGACTGGAGGAAAGGCTGGTGACTCCAGGAACAAGACCTGGTATGAATTTGGCCCTGGACCCTCCCACTCTTCAGGTCAGTCTGGGCCCTCACTGCTGAAGGCCTGGCCGGATGCTGGAGCTGGGAACAGTGACTCCTACTGGAGCCAGGCCAGACAAGGGTGGGGCGTGGCCGGGAGACAGTGTGCGGGGAGGAGGGAGGGTCCAGGTCTTGTAGGGGCGTGGCCTCAGGTCCTATGGGGGGCATGGCATCAGGTGGTGGGTGGGCCTGCACGGGGGGCGTGGCCTCGGCAGCTGGGGCGGGAGTTGTGCAATCTGTTTGGGGCGTGGCCTCGTCTGCCGGGGCGTGGCCTCGGGCGGTGCCCGTATCTGTTGGGCAAGTCCTCCGCAGTGGCTGCGGCTGACCGTGGCCTGCCTGTAAGAGGAAGTTCTGCTTGCAACCGCCCGCTCGCCACTCCCTCCCCTCACAGCAAGTCCGGGAGAAGTGGCACCTCGTGGAGGACCTGTCGCGGCTGCTGGACCCCGGGGCCTCCCCGGGGCCGGAGTCCCCTCCCTCTCGAGCTTCGCGTCCAGGGTCCTTGTGTCCCGGATTCCCGTGCCCGGGCTCCCCGGGCCCCCGGAGCCCCGCACCCGGACCTTCCCGGTTCCGCTTCCCCACCGACCCCGGCTCCCCGGCGGGACCTGCGGCCTCCCCGCCCTCCCCCCCAGGCCCCTGGTGACCCGGGCGGCAGGAAGAGTGTGTGGGAATCCCCACCTGTATGTTTTTAGCCTTCAGATGTTCTATTTTTTTAATTAAAGGTCTTGCCGTTTGCCTAGATCTTAGCAGAGTAAGTCAAGGATGCGGTTTATTTTATTTATTTGCTTTGCTCCTCCCGGGGCTTGAGCTCAGGCCTGGGCTGCGCTGACCCTGAGCGTCTTTGTGCTCAAGGATAGTGCTCTACCACAATGCCATTTCTGGCTTTTTCTGAGTAGTTTATTGGAGGTAAGAGTCTCATGGACTTTCCTATCTGGGCTGGCTTTGAACCATGATCTTCAGATCTCAGTCTCCTGAGTAGCCAGGATGACAGGTGTGAGCCTGGCTCTCCCTGATACTGGTATCTCCATAAGCCACCAGAAAACCGTAAGTGGCGCTGTAGCTCAAGTGGTAGAGCACTCGCCTTGAGCTGAAGAGCTGAGGGACAGTGCCCAGGCCCAGAGTTCAGGCCCACAACGGACAAGAAAGAAAGAAAGAAAGCTTTGGCCTGAAGCCCTTGGAGCCAGAGGCTTCTCAGGTGACTGTTGGACATGGCCAGTCCATCTCCCTGGCTGACCTTATCTGGTCCCATGGCACAGGACCCAACACCTTCAGCAAAGGCAGATCAAATGCTGCTAAAGGCCAGGTCCTGATCCAGAGCCCGCCAACAAGGCCACCAGGGACACTGGCTCCCCTGGGAGCTGGTTAATCTGGCCCAGGAGCAAGTGACACAGGATGGATGGATCAGCAGCTGGACCCACAGCAGCCTGGTGTACACTTGGGTGGGAACTGGTTAGATGCAAATTCTCAGGCCTTGCTCTGACCTCCTGGGTCAGAAAATGCAAGATTGGAGTCCAGCAGGGGTGTTTGTTTTTGATCTGGGCATTGTGGTAGACACCTGCAGTCCCTCACTGTGGATGATAGGGGAACTGGGGGACGGTGGGTGGCGACATGACAAGCCTTCTCTGCCCAGAAGCCACACTGGGGGCAGTGAGAGGCCTGCTGGTGTTATTGCACAAGCCAAGTAAACATCTCACAAGTACAAGGTAAGGGGGGGGGTGAGCAGGCAGCCCAGCAACCCAACCGCAGGGGTCTCTGGACCCTCCCAGGCCTGGGAAGCCTCACCTCAGCTCTTCTGGCCTCGGTGGTCCAGGACTATGTCTCCTCCACCTTTGGGACCCTTCCAAAATCCAGGCATTCAGGAAATACAGAGACTGTGACAAGGCCTTCTGCTGTGGAGACCAGCCCTGTGAGGCAGAAATTACAAAACCGCGGTGTGTGGGGAAACTAGGGAACTTTTTTTTTTGGTCGTGGGGCCTGAACTCGGCCTGGGCTCTGTCCCTCAGCTCTTCAGCTCAAGGCTAGTACTCTACCACTTGAGCCACAGTGCCACTTCCAGCTTTTTCTGCTTATGTGGTGCTGAGGAATCGAACCCAGGGCCTCATGCATGCAAGGCAAGCACTCTACCACTGAGCCACCTTCCCAGCCCCCTAAGGAACTTTTAGGGCCACTGAAACCTCCACTCAAGGGACACCAAGAATGGCCCTGACTAGCCCTGTGCTCCCTGTGGGGACAGAGGACTAGCCCACAGGGAGTGAGATGGATACACTGGTGGTCCCTGGAGAGGGACCCCAGGGCCCACGGGAAAGGCTCCCATCAAGGCCTGGCAAGGATGCCCCCAGAGTCAGCAGATATTCAGAGAAGAGAGGACTTTTCCAAGATGCCTGGGCCCAGGCCGCTTTCGTGTTTGCCACACCAGGGAGAGCCAGAGTTTCTGGGTCTTTAGGTTCCAGACAGCCCGCAGCCTGAGACCCCAGGGAGGGTCAGCCTCCCTCTGATCCTTGTTCCTGGTGTCCCTCAGTCCTCACTCCCTCTACTGCTCAGGAGGCTGAGATCTGAGGATCACAGTTCAAAGCCAGGCCAGGCAGGAAATTCTGTGAGACTCTTATCGCCAATGGACCACCAGAAAACCAGAAGTGGCTGGCGTGGCTCAAATGGTAGAGCACTCGCCTTAAGCTGAAAAGTTCACAGACAGCGCCCAGGCCCAGAGTTCAAACGCCACAACCAAAAAAAAAAACCTTTTAGGAGGGGATTGTGGGAGGAGTTATAAGTAGACAAGCAATGGCAGGAGCTGTCCCCAGGGACTGTGGCCGGCAGGTGGCACACAACAGGTCTCTAAGTGACTTAATATCTGCATGGTTTTCCTCATCATCTAGATGCTGCTTCCTGACACACACCAATCTCAGGCTTCAGTGGCACCCCAAGAATGGAAAGAAGGGCCCACTGGCTTTCGGGTCAGGCACTGGGCAGCAGTGACATTAGAGACTGACAGTCACCTGGTAGCAGGCAGGTGACACTGCTGTGTAAAAGCAGCTCACACCTGTCATCCTAGCTACTCAGGAGGCTGAGATCTGAGGATAGTGGTTCAAAGCCAGCCCTGGCAGGAGATAAGAGTTCACAAGACTCTTATCTCTAATTAGTCACCAGATTAATTCATTAATCCTAGAGCGCTTGTCTGGAGGGGAAAAGCTCTGGGACAGCGCCCAGGCCCTGAGTTCAAGCCCCACAACCAGAAGAATAAAAAAAGCAATTGAATGGTTCTGTTTCTGCACAAAGTCACTCACCCTGGCAAAAAAAAGCCACCAGCTGGCCTGGCAGCCAAGATTGGGCTTGAGCCAGAACCTGCTAGAGGGGCAGGCATGTGGCAGTGGCCCCTCGGGCTGGGAGGCCCACCGCCCCTCTGCTTCGGGGCACTGGCAAGGCCACACCACAGATGGTGACATGGCTTAGTCTTTATTTTGCCTGCGTGAGCCTCGGGCCCAGGCCCCTAGATGGCATGAAGAAGGGCGGAGTTCAAGACCAGTCCTGGGCTGGCCAGGGCCTTGTCCAGGCTGTGGTGGAGCCTGGGGCCAGGTGCGGCATCAGCCCCCTCCCAGGTGCCCGGCTGGTGGTCCGAGGGGATCCTCTGGCATGTGGGCAGAAGTTGCCGTGCAGCTGGCCGCCATGTCTCCAGCCTGTAAGGTCCTGCCTGGGAATCGCTCACCTCCCACTGGGCACACACACCCAACCTCACTTCCCGCCTCTGCTCGCTAGGCCAGGATGTGGGTGTCCCTCACCCACCAAAGTCCAGGGGCTCCAACCCGTGGGACTCTTCTAGGCCCCGCCCTGGTAGGAGGGGGGCACCTTGGAGTTGCAGCCTCCAGATTATCTTGGCCCTGCAGGCGGCACCCCTGGAGCATGCCAGGGGGCCCCCCACGGTGGAAGGAGGCCCACACGCAGGAAGCTCTGTTGAGTCTGAGCAGAGGCTCCACACAGCCCCACTGAGGACGAAGCATGAGGCTGCTCCCGCTGCTGTGCTTGGCCATGCTGGGTGAGCCCGCTCGGGGACACCTGGGAAGGGCTGCCCGAGCCTCAGGGGGTGGGCTTAGGGGAGCACAGGAGAGGTCCTGAAGGCAGGGTACAGGGGAAGGCACGGACAGACAGGGAGGGTGACACTACAGACCAGACCAGCCCCTTACTGGCCTCATTGCTGCTTCATCACTGCACCAATTTACTCATCTGAAAGATGGGCTTAGGACCCCTTCTCCTGGGCTCAGCTGTGGCTCCCTCACGGGGCTCCCCCCCTTCCCCTCTCTTGCAGCTCCCAGCAGCTTTCCCAAAGAGGAGGCAGAAGGTGAGTAGCCCCAAGATACTGGGGGGAGAAGGGTCCTCGGCCTCCATCTGTGATCCTTGGTGGGAGAGAGGCTGTGGATGGGGGGAGGGGGCTGGGGGAAAGGCAGCCAGCTGGACCATTCTGGAACCCAGCCTCCACCCTGCAGGGATCTGGAGAGTGAAGAAGGCAGGCTGAGCAGGTGGAAGCGGGATTTCTGGGGACAGGGGACAGCGGAAGGGCTCTGCTTCCGGCAGAGCTGTTTGGAACATGGAGGGGTGTCCTTGGGCAGGGGTGGAGGGGGGCAGGGGGGAGCAGAATCTCCCACACACACCTGTAAGCCCTGTAGGTCTGCTGGGTGGGTGTGGCCCCAGACAGGTGGGGAACTCTTGGGGAGCCCCTTGACCCAGGATGGGGGCCCCTTGGTCAGAAGGATTGCTGGGAAAAGCTAGAATCCCAAGGAGTGCAGAAGCAGCTGGAGGGCGTGGGTCTCTGAGAGTTACCCAGGGAGGGGAACCCCTGGCCTGGCCCACTTTCAGGTCCAACTGCATCTTTCTGCTTGTTCTGCACTGTCCCCTCTCCTCCCTGCCCCCCCCCATCTCCAGCCCCTGTGTCAGTCAGAGTGGAGACAGGAGACCTTCCTACCTTGTCCCTAACCTGTGCGGTCAGCTATGCAGGCCAGAGCTGGACATGCCTCTATTCTACTTCCCATGGGACTATTGATGTAGGTCTCACTTAGAGGAGGCACAGATTCAAAGACCATTTATTTCCTCATTTGCTGGAGAGAGAAAGGGAGATTCACATGTATTTTTGGTGTTGCCCTTAAAAAAGCCTTAGCTGGTTCTCTGGAAAGTACCTGCCTCTTCCGTCAAATCAGCCCATGACTCCTGCTCAGCCAATCAAGTCCTGCTAACTGAACACGGTGTGTGTGTGTGAGTGTGTGTGTGTGAATTTGGGGGCTTAAACAGAAGATCTTAGCTTTTTCTGTTTAAGGCTAGTGCTCTACCCCTTGAGCTACACCTCCACTTCTAGCTTTTTGATGGTTAGAGATAAGAACTTCTTGAAGGCTGGGAAGGTTGCTCAGTGGTAGAGCGCTTGCCTTGCATGCATGAGGCCCTGGGTTTGATTCCTCAGCACCACATAAGCAAAAAGAAAAAAAAGCTGGAAGTGGTATTGTGGCTCAAGTGGTAGAGTGCTAGCCCTGAGCTGAAGAGCTGAGGGACAGCGCCCAGGCCCAGAGTTCAAGCCCCATGACCGGAACCCCCCCCCCAAAAAAAAAAAAAGAACTTCTTGAATGTATTTTCCCAGGCTGGCCTTGAACTGTGATCCTCAGATCTCTGTCTCCTGAGTAGCTAGGATTACAAGGGCCTGGCAATGTCCTTTCTTTAGTAACAGACTCTCACAAAATGAGGCTCAC